GTCACCTTGTTTTGCTAATAATAGTTTGCACAATGATTATTTAATCCCACTAGATTTTCATTATGGGTTTTAAGTTATTCACAGATGTGAATTCAACTTCTAACATAAAATAACAACATAATAACATCCACTTGATGAATACTACCATTAAAGTAACCCTCGTTTGCTTAGCTGTTCAAAAGAGCATCAGTTACACAGCTAATTGTACACACTGGCCAAGAAAAACAAATCTACTGATCTGTATGTGCAAAAATTGTATTTGTGTCCTTTTATGCTAATAAATAGCAAAGTACTGTTGCTGTCACTTGATTTTATAAAATAAACATGAAAGTGCAATTGCCGTCTCACATTACTGTCAAGCACAACAGTCCAGTTTGTTTTGAATGATCATATTAGGGGTTTCACTCTACTGCAATAAAGCACTAGGAGACACAAAATAGACCTAAACAGTGAATCTATCGACTCTATTCTCTTTCCAGCTGTTCACCTTTCATAGCACTTTCCAACGGTTCAGCAGCTTCCCCTTCATATCTTCACCTGGCACACATCAGACCAGTGGACTGATAGTAAACAGCCATTAGTTAATATTTACAAAGCCACTTTCCAGTCAGTTATAGGTGCTCTGCAGATGTTTATCACTGGGGGCATTGATCCATGTCTTATCATGCAAAGGTTGGACCCTGGAAAGGTTAATTGGAAATCAAGACAGCAGATCAGTTGGGAGAAAGTTTGTAGATTTGGTGTTTTCTGCTGGCGTTCTGGTGGACAATGAACGCAAATCAGATGAAGGATTCTCTTGGATAAAAACTGTGATTAGCTACAAAGTTCTACACTCCAACAAAAACTTTACAAATATAGTGTAAGACGAGTTTAATTGCCCTTTTATTGTACTCACTGGCAGTACACCAATCAGCCATAACTATGACCACCAACGTGAGGAACACCGATCACCTTATTACAATGCAACAATTTGTAAGGGTTGCTACTTTGGGATTTCAGATCTACTTTTGAAACTAATGACATGCTCCATCAGCACTCCCCTACCATCAGTAGGTCAAACATAGCTGAGAAATTGTTCAAAGGAGTCAATAATCAAAGATATTCTCCAAAATTGCTCCCACTGAATCTTACAGTTAAACAAACAACCTCAAGTCTTGCTCGAGTCTCTCATTTCTAGCATTTCAGTCATGTGTAGGTCTGGATTTTGGGAAGACCCTTGCAGCACCTTCATTTCGTTTTCCATCTTTTGGTTGTAGATCTGTTGCTGTTTGGATCACTGACATGTTTTATTACCCTGTTTGGTCCAAGCTTGAGCTGTCAGACAGATGGGCTCACATTGGACTTTAAAAAACTTTGGCCTATATAGTTCTTGGTCAGTGACTACAATGTACCCAATCCATCAACCCTCCACCACCGTGAAGAAGAAGAAGAAGAAGAAGAAGAAGAAGAAGAAGAAGAAGAAGAAGAAGAAGAAGAAGAAGAAGAAGAAGAAGAAGAAGAAGAAGAAGAAGAAGAAGAAGAAGAAGAAGAAGAAGAAGAAGAAGAAGAAGAAGAAGAAGAAGAAGAAGAAGAAGAAGAAGAAGAAGAAGAAGAAGAAGAAGAAGAAGAAGAAGAAGAAGAAGAAGAAGAAGAAGAAGAAGAAGAAGAACTTTTCTATAGCGCCTCTCAAGATAAAAGTCACGAGGCGCTCCACAAAAACAAAAATGTTAAAATTTGAAAAAGCATTTGGAAAATGTTTAAAAATATATTTAAAATGAGCAAAAATAGGCAATTGGGATTTAAAAGAAAAAATGTTAAGAACGAGAGAGAGAGTGAACAGGAAAGAGGAAAATCAGTGGATCCTGAGGAAGGTGGAATAGGTGGGCAGAGCAGAATAAAGAGAGAGTGGTGAAGATGGTCATACAAAAGCCAGCTTGAACAAGTGAGTCTTCAGCTGCTTTTTAAAGGAGTCCACTGAGTCCACTGATCTCAGGCTCAGGGGGAGAGAGTTCCAGAGTCTGGGGGCCACAGCAGCAAATGATCTGTCACCTTTGACCTTTAGCCTGGTGCTGCACAACCAGTAGGCTTTGATCACTGGACCTCAGGGACCTGCTGGGGGTGTAGGGACTAAGAAGATCACCAATGTAAGATGGTGCTTGTCCATGTAAGGCACTATAGACCAGAACCAGGATCTTGAAATGAACTCTGAAGTTGACTGGCAGCCAGTGAAGCTGGAGGAGAAGCGGGGTGATGTGGGTGTGTTTGGAGGACTTGGTCAGAAGCCGAGCACAGGCATTCTGAACCACCTGTAGACGGTTCAGGGAGGTTCTGCTCAGACACGTGAAAAGAGAGTTACAGTAGTCTAAGCGTGAGGAGATGAAGGTGTGGACAACTGTCTCAAGTTCAGAGCGGGACAGAATGGGACTCAGCTTAGCAATGTTCCTGAGATGGAAGAAGGAAGAGCGAACAAGAGAACTGACATGAGAATCCAGGGGGAGAGCTGGGTCAAAGGTCACGCCAAGATTCCTGACAGAAGGTTTGGTGTGGGAAGCAAGCTGACCAAGAGAGTCTCTGACTTTGGGAACCAGCTTGTCTGGGGCACTGATGAGGATCTCAGTCTTATCTTCATTCAGCTGAAGAAAGCTCCCAGCCATCCAGGTTTTGATAGAGTCTAAGCAGGTGTGTAACAGCTGCAGCTTAGACATCTCATGGGGCTTAAAGGAGATGTACAGTTGGATTTCATCTGCATAAAGATGGTAGGAGATTCCTTTGAAGGAGCTCAGGATGTGCTGAAGAGGAAGCAGAGGAGGAAGAGCAGAGGCCCCAGCACAGAACCTTGTGGGACACCATGGGTAAGAGAGGTGGTGGAGGACCTAAACTTGGAGACGGCTCAGGTAAACAAACAGGATGGTACGTCCTCGGTGCATCTTGGGCGATCGTGAACAAACGGAAGGACAGAAGAGTCTGGCGATCATAGGAGATGGTAGCAGGGACACTACTGAAGAGGATTGCAGACAGGAGCAAGGTGGAAAAGAGGAGGTTAGTGGAGAAAAGTTTGAAAATGTGGCTAAGCCAAGCACAGGCGCCATCTTGTTGCCGACCGGAAGCGGAAGTGCTGACAACCAGTATGAGATGTTTGATTTTCACCAAACACTGAGCTGTGCATTATGGAGAACCGGCTATAATTTAGTTCAATCTGTCCAAAGGTTTTGTGGTTCTTTCAGATGCAAATTCACAAATGTAACCGGAACTCCCAATATCCTCCTAGAGATTTGACGTGCTCCTGACAGCCTTTCCAAACAACTGTCTTTTTCTAATAATACTGTAAGGAAATTTAACCTTTAGCATGCTAACTGAGGTCCATAGAATCTGAGATGGAGCTTTTTTGGGGGGCATCGCCAGGGGTGGTGTTAGGCCCGGCTACTTGGGCTGAAGCCCCGGATGTTTCATGAAAAGCCCCGGATCTAAATTGCGGCAGTAACATGCAGTACCAAAGCCCAACAGAGAGGGAGCAGCTGGCAGTAGTTTGTATACAGCCTGCCTGAGCCTCCACCACCAGTGTTGGGAGTAACGCGGTACAAAAGTAATTAATTACTGTAATGCATTGCTTTTTGCTGTAATGTGGTAATGTAAGGCATTACAGGGAAAGAAAATGGTAATATTTACTCAGTACAATTGTCAGTAACGCAGTAATTACAATGCATTTTTAAACCCAGAATCAAGATGTGGGTTTCTTAAAAATTAAAATTGCGGAAAGCCCAAAATAAAGATTTGGTATCTACATATATTACGTCATTTATGGACTCAGCTTTGTGGGCATTCTATGAGCAGAGAGGACGCAGCGGTAATGGCTCAAATACTCCAGCTGTGTCCTGCGTGCGGCCGCTGTTATATTCACAAAATCGCTCCACCAAAAGAAAGTCATTCACTTGCGATCGTTCATATTCTCTGTACTTTCTGTACATTTATGACGTGCTTTGCTTCAGCTGAGTTCATAATCTGTGCCGTCGCTCGGTGATTTCGACTCATTGCTGCGGGAGCGCAGCGCATATTAAGCTTTTTTTTGCGTTCGGTAGATCCCTTTGGCTGATTAGAAATCTAGGAAACTGTTTTTCTGGAAGACGGAGAAAACATGCAGGAAGGTTAGAGAGAGAAAGGGCCGGAAATTATTCAAATAAAGTCAAGAAAACAAAACAAAGAGCTTGAAAAGAAAAAAAAGTAGGTAGATTTAGCCCCAATACACATTTTTACCAGTGAAAAGCAAAAATATATAAGCATTTCATATTTATACAGGTGATAGAATCAGATCACCCCAGAAGTCAGTCCCACATCCAGGGCCGTATCAAGGCATTTGGGGACCAAAGCAAAATAGGCTTGGAGCCCCCACCACCTCACTCCCTGCTCAGTTAATCTAAGATGGCAGCGTGCTGAGAGTACAGATTGTTGTTGCTTTTATTTAATAAACAATCATTTTAAAGCACTGAGCGTCACCTTACCAGATTCATATTGAAGTTGTACTGGTGAAAGTAACTTAAAGTAATGCAAAAAAGTGTAATGCCTTACATTTTAAAATCAGTAATATTGTAATGTAATCAATTACATTAAAATGAGGGTAACAAGTAATAAATAATGCATTACAGTTTTGAAGTAACTTGCCCAACACTGTCTACCACTGAAGAAGAAGCCCTTCAGCAGCCGGCTTCTTCTACACTCTCTGCCTGAAACGCATGAGTGAAGATGGACATAAGGACGTTTTTTAGACAAAAAGTACAACGACAGAACCCCAGCTTTGATGAGGCTGGTGTTGACTCAGGTTTGTGAGTCTTATTTGAAAATATTTGTTGTGCTGCTGGTTTGCCTAAAGTTAGCTTATCAGGTGAAGTGGTTGGGGAAAGAAAGGGAATATTTAATATCATCTCTCACTAAACACTAACAGGAACAATACTCTGCCCTGAAAATGCTTAATATGTAGCTTCAGATTAAAAATTATGTGGTACACACTGAAAAAAGTATATTTAACAATAGTCAATGTAATGTAATATTTTACGAAAATTAAATGTACATTTTTTGAGTTAAGGATCACAACTCAAAAATGTGGTGGCAAACAACTTGAAACTGCCCAACTAAGGGCAAAGTGATGTTTCCTTATTGAACCAAAGTGCTGAATTTAAATAGAACTAACTAGTGCGTATGACGTCATCACGTCAGATTTATTCCCGCCTCTGAAGTTCTAGATTGACCATCTACCAGCACCATTCTCGGAACCGGAGCTGAAACAACGGTAAGTTCTTCGGTAAAATATGGTTTTATGTAGTAATATTATGACTTTATAACTGTATTAATGAATGTGCTTTACTTTTCAATATGTTTTAAATGCTAGTGGTATCAACTTAGGTTTTGTAAAACCACAGTGAGTGCCAAGAATATTGTTGGTGAGATTTAGATTTTTAGACAAAGGATTTTTTTTATTAAACGGTAATTTTTCTACGTTTTTGTCGATTTAAAAGGTTCTTATCACAGAACTCCCGTGATGCGTAATAAGAGGCGTCTTCTCTGCCCCAGCAGTTGTTAGCAACAACGCCATAGAGTGTAAAAATGTAACACTCATTATTTGCCCGTGAAAGTCAGTTGAGGAAGCCCCGTAGATTCTTCTCTCTCTCTCTCTCTCCCTGCCGGCACGTGCCTGCTTCGCATTCGGCACGTGCCTGCTTCGCATTCGCGACTGCATGGTCCCTTCCTTCCCATCGTTGAGCTGCGTTCTGTACCGCGATCATGAAAATGACAGAAATACGTCTCCATCGGAGGATAGTTTAAAAGGTAAGAAAACGTATGAAAAGTATTAAACTCACCATCAACCCAGAAGGTATTTCTGTCGATGCCTCCTTAGTTTTCATGTCCTCCTGTTAGCCTAAATATTACTAGTGGTGTTGGATAAACTGGCTGAATTCTCTACTTTAAGGATTAAATTCTCGTCGTCCAGGATCAAAAAGTAGCAAATTAGATCCACAGACAAACTAACTTCAATCCCAGTGTCAAGTGTAGTCAAATTTAGAACCCGTTTAACTTTTGTTACGGTTATTTCCTTGTTAACCAGTATTTTGAAAATCTCCGGAATTCGTGTCTGATTTTCTGTCTTCCCCTATCAAAACTGTAGAGCTTGACTCGTTTAAAGCCGGGCGGACACTATGCGACTTTTTCACTCAGCTTCAGCTCTTAACTGTACGACTTCCTCGCAGGGCAGTTCTCACAAGTCATGCGCTCACACTGCACGACCCAGTTCTCTGTTGTGACCTGACTGCTCACTCTGTACGTATGATAGCAACACGTCGGCCCTAAAAATATGCTAAAAATAGCAGTTTTTACTCCACGTCAGACTTTTTTGTCTTGCCTGTTGTCCTTCAGGAGTGCTGCAGGGACACGGATTTATGGGGGCTGGTGGGGAAAACGAAATAAAGTAAATCTGTGTTTTGTGATCAGGTTAATTTGACATGAACACGACAAACACGCTTTCTTGACAATCTTTGTGAGTAAAAAAACATGTAGAAATAAAAACGAACAACGTGTGTTATTAGGGAAATAGCGAGCAGATGCAGGATTGCGCATGCGCCGTGAGCGGTTCTGATACTTTTTGGGTCGCAGCTGCTCGCAGCATCGCTTCAACAGTGCGATACCATCACGAGGGACGATCAACATTTCAAACACACCAGAAGTTTGTGCGAGTTTACGATTGCTAATCGGTAGTTGGTCACGTGGTGTTAATCGCCTCTCATAACCCCCTGTACACTACAAGATGCTCAGCGCAAAACTCTCCCCGATCTTGTGGATTCTCGCACGACTGGAAAATCGGCTCAAAAAAGTGAAAAAGTCGCACAGTGTATGCCCGGCTTTAGACACTACAGCATTTAGTGTGCAAAAAGGGCAGTCTTAAGGATTTGGTGTTAATCACTAGAATAATAAAATGTAATGAAAATGTTTACAAATGTAATGTCAGTAAAAAAACTTGTTTTTTCCCCCCAGTCTTTTGTTTCACCATATCTGTAATATCAGATTCAATATTTAAAGTGGGGTTGTATGAACACATTTGTAATTTTTTCTTTTCCCCTTCAGCTCTCCTGATTCCTTTTTGCCTTGTTCAATGTAATGTAAGTTATCAATGAACACTGGCACTTTGATAGATGGAAAGTTTAACCGCTTATATATTAATTAATTTTCTTCTTCTCTTGCTCATTTTTCCTCAGTCCCTGGTAGAAAACCACCCAACATCTGGAATTGCAAATGTGAGTTTTGTATACATTTAATTAAATTATTAATTTTTATTATTTTATTTATTAAAGGCCCTATCACGTTTGCATTAAATACTACATTATTGCTGTAAGTCAGCCCATTAGTGTTCCTGTGTTCCACTGAAAAGACATAGCTTTTCAAGTAAGTTTTTAAATTTAAGTATCTTCTGGGCCAGCCTCTTTGTAAACGAGTATTATATCATAGGAATGCTAAAAAAAATCTTGAGGTTCCAATATTATCTGCTAATAAAGAATACAATTAAAACAGTAGACATGACACTACCTCCCCCATCATTGTTTAGGTTTATTACAGTCAAATCTGATGTAAAGATAATAGTTCATTTTATATTACTTGGTAACAATACCACAAGAGACCCTAGTTGTGCCTCAAAATAGTTTTTGTTTCTTAAAATAGTTCAAGGACAGCTTAAATTTACAATTGTGTTTGTATAACATTAAGGGTAAAAATTGTAGTAATGTTAAGAAATTAAATCTGCCAAATAATTACAGTGCAATTTCAGCTGTGCAATAAAACAGTCCAAATACAACCCCCAACTTTGCTTTCTTTCGAGGACCCAAGGGAATTTCTTATTTTAAAGTACTTTTTTATTATCAATAACATGCTTGGCCCCATGAACAGAATACTTTCTTTATGCATTGGGTTGATTTTTTTTTAAATAATTTTTTTAAGTGTGTTAAACTGAATTATATTTGATTTTAAAGGAAGTAAATTACATTTTAACCGATGCAAGAAAACATTCCAAATACAATCCCCAACTTTGCTTTCTTCAGATGACCCAAGGGAATTTCTTATTTTAAAGTACTTTTTTATTATCAATAACATGCTTGCCCTCATGAACAGAATACTTTCTTTAAAAATCTTCTGTATATTCATTCTGTGTGTGTGTTCATGATTGTCTTCATTTTTCTTTTGTAACACAGAGAAATTAGGTGTTTACCTTTTGCTGACATGTTTCGGCTGGAACTACCCCCTTCGTCAGAGCCATCAGCTGTTCGCTGGCGTTTTTTCCGTTTATGTGCGGGCAACAAAGGACGATGTCGCCCTCTGCTGCCCGCGTCCTCCCCACTGATGACACAGTCCCATGCGTGGTCCAACATGTATACCCCGTCGTCCCTGTTCATGGTGTTGTGTCCACGTCTCCTTATCTCTATCGCTTTCTTAATCCATCTTCTGTATTTTTGTTGTTCTGTGTTAATGATCTGTGTGCTGTCTGCGGGCAGCAGAGGGCGACATCGTCCTTTGCTGCCCGCACATAAACGGAAGTGACGCCGCGAACAGCTGATGGCTCTGACGAAGGGGGTAGTTCCAGCCGAAACATGTCAGCAAAAGGTAAACAAACACCTCATTTCTGTGTTACAGTGCTTACGGTATGTGCCCACCGCACACGATTCTGGTTGTTTTGCGAAATAATTCAATGTAAAATCAATGGAGCAGCGCGACCATGAGTGACATGGCGTCACACGTCAACTCGGAAGCAGCTGTGCGTCCAGAAAGCGCGAGATTACCTCACCTCAGCGGCAGGTGCGAGCTGACGAGGCGTGTCATTTGTGACTGCTCCAGCTGCTGCGTGTGCATCTGGCAAAAGGAAAATCTGATTGCTCAACTTGGAATGGGCCTCACTGAGAGGAATAGAAGAGAGGAGACTCGACATCTGGTGAGTTTATTTTGCTGTCGGAATGTTCAGGAGGTACTGTCGCCATGGAAACACATATACAGTATATGCGATATCAGTAGATCCTTGCATGTCCGCCTAGACGCCCGTCCAAATTGGTCAAAATATTGACATTAGCTGTGCGTTCAACTCGTCCTGCACGCCCGGCAAGGTGCGACTTCACCTGCGTCCGAACAGAGGAGTGTACAGCAATTTTAACGCCAGAATCGCGTGCGGTGGTCACGTACCATTACAGACTGCACGCGATTCTGGCGTTAAAATCGCTGTAAACATCTATTTGGATGCACCTGCAATCGCACCTTGCCGTGCGTGCAGGAAGAGTTGAATGCGGGGCTAAATGTAAGTATTTTAATCGATTTGGTCAGGCGTCTAGGCGGACATGCAAGGATCTACTGATCCACATAGACTGTATATGTGTTTCCATGGTGACAGTACCTCGTGAAGGGTTCCAACAGTAATATAAACTCACCAGGGTATCCAGTCTCCATCTTCTATTCCTCTCAGCGAGGTCCATTCCAAGTTGAGCAGTCAGCTTTTCCTTTTCCCAGGCGTCACGCAGCAGCTGCAGCAATCGCAAAACACACGCCTCGTCAGCTCGCATCTGCCGCTCAAGTGAGGTGATTGCGTGCTTTCTGGACGCACAGCTGCTTCTTAGTTGACGTGTGATGCCCTGTCTCTCACGGTCGCGCTGCTCCATTGATTTTACATTGAATTATGCCGTTGGATGAGGAAAACGAAATAAAGAACGTAAATCTGTGTTTTGTGATCAGTTTAATTTGGCATGAACACGACAAACACACTTTCTTGACAATCTTTGTAACAAAAACGTGTAGAAATATAAACGAACAGTGTGTGTTATTAGGGAAATAGCGAGCGAGCGGTGTTGATGCATGATTGCGCATGCGCCGTGAGCGGTTCTGGTACTTTTTGGGTCGCAGCTGCTCGCAGCGCCGCTTCAAGCGCTGATGCGCTGTGTTGAAGTTCAGAATGTGTTTACCGGTAGTTGGTGGATTTAACCATAAACTTTCCACATGAACAAAATCATATCTGTGTTATTAACCGGTCTAAGAAAATAGTGTGATTTGAATTGTTTTATTAACCCTCTGGGGTACATGGACGCATATCCGCGTCTTTTGAACAGGTCTGATTTGGGACGCTGTAGCAGCAAGACTCCGCCTCCCTGACTTTTGGTTTCAATTCAGCTTTAAAAAGGAGATTATAAACTACACCCCTGTTTTTACATTTTGTTAATAGGCAACGTAAAAGCGGAGTTATACTAAACTAAAAAATTATCTATTTTTAGACAATCTGATAACTTGTCTAAACAGCAGTTTAGTAATCCGTGAGAGGGAATGTGCTTGTGAACGTAAAAAATCCCCCACAAAAACATGAGATCCTTTTGCTGTTGGTGGAAGTCTCACATATTCAGTTTATTAAAAGGATCATTATGTAGCTGAGAGAGAGAGGAAGGCTGCATGAGTAACGAGATGTGCGCAAAAAGGAGCCGCTTTGCGGGGAAAGCAGTGGCGCGAGCGGAGTAACAACAATTAGACAGATATTGACGGTAAACCTCATATTTTGGAGCGATCCGGACAGATATGTTGTCTCTGCAGTTTAGCAGGCTTTTATTAGGCTTTAATAAAGGATGATGAGAAGGATAAATGTCCACCAGGCAGTTCAGATAGTACGGCTGTTTTTTTAACTGGAAGAAGAGGAAGTGGACGGAGACTCACAGCCGGAGTCTGACGCAAATAGCGAGGATGTTGATGATGATGTAGCAGATCCACAGGTCTGTCTTCGCTCACGTCCGCACGTTCACGCCACGCCTCTTGTTTTCTACTACGTTCGCTTCTCACAACAACACAATAGGCACACCGCACCACAGGGCGCAGCGTACATTTTGGAGAAAATTTTAGACTTTTAGGTGCGCCTTATGGTCGTGAAAATATGGTAAATTACATTTAAACTGATGCAACAACTTTTTAATCTGCAACAAAACTATTAACCTCTGAAGCTCTCATTGACTGGTGTTTAAACAGTGGTCTTCCTGAAGGAGGAGAAAAGTGTGGACAAACTCATTTGTAACAAGTGGTCCATCTGTCTTCTTTTTCTAGTGTCAAATTGAATGGCATGGAGTTGCAAAGACTGTCATAGTGTCTTCACAAGAAGATCTCAACTGCTTGGGCACTACAAACTAAGCCACGGACAATATGGAAGAGGTCATTCTTATCCATGCACCTATTTAAGTTGTGCCTGCCGATTCAAAACTTGGAATGCTTTACGGAGCCATCTAGCAAGATGTCATTCCTCTTTTAAACCACAAACAAAGGCATCAGCATATATATGTCCCGTTTGTTCTTGTAGTCTGCATTCTACAGAAAGGGATTTCTTTCATCATATTTTTGCTCATCTTAAAAACAAAGTGTGTGTCACTTGTGTGTACCAGAACTGTTTCTACAAAACAAATGTCTATGAAAACTACAAAAGTCATAAATACAGAAAACATTCTGGTAAAGTTGATGAGTTTAAACCAGAAATAGTTTTACTTACAAAAAACCCTGAAGAATTATCTGCCAGTGTTGCTGTTTTCTCAGATGGGGAAAGCAGTATTGGCTGTAATGAAACTTTAGATGATGATGCTGAGCAGTTAGAGAAGGATTTTGAGATCAAACTTGCTTCCGTTCTTCTTAAGTTAGAAAGTGTTTTTCTTGTGTCTAATGCAGCAGTCGATGAGCTCTTACAAGAGTTGAGTTATTTGATCGGTTCGCTCTGTGTACCAGTTACTAAGAATACAGTTGTGCAAATACTTCAACAGAATAACTGTCCTTTTGACCATTTACTTGTGGAAAATTTAGCAAGTGCAGTTTGTGACAAAAACCCTGTTAAAAAGGCAATAAGGAAAAAAGGGCCCCTCTCCAGTGTTTGGAGGCGAAAGGCTTATTATAGAAGACATTTTGGTGTAGTTGAACCGTTAGAATATTTTCTTGATAAAAAAAATGGAAAGTCATTTCAGTATATTTCAATTTTAAAGACTCTACAGGAAATCTTGGACTGTGAAGCAATACTGAGTCAAACAGAGCATATACAAACATTACATAAAGACTCAGGAGAAGGCATTTACAAGTCATTTTTTGATGGTGCCATATTCAAAGAAAAAGTTCTCTCAAACGAGGAAAGCATTTCATTAATATTATACATTGATGATTTTGAGATATGCAATCCCCTTGGGACATCTAAAAGAAAGCACAAAATTTGTGGATTGTATTGGACTCTCGGTAATTTGCTCCCCGGTTGTAACTCTGCATTGTCGTCTATTTACTTGGCAGCTTTAATTAAGAGCAATGATCTAAAGTCTTACAGTTATGCAAAAGTCTTAGAGCCTCTAATAAGAGATCTTCTGTTTTTGGAACAGAGTGGTTTGTATGTTCCAAAGTTAGGTAAAACCCTCAAAGGAACCCTTCAATGTGTAGTGGCTGACAACCTCGCTGCACATGGTATTGCTGGGTTTGTAGAGAATTTTACTGGAGACTACATTTGTCGCTTTTGCACTGCAAAATCCTCTCAATATCAAACAACTGAGGTTAACAGAGGAACATTTACATTAAGAGACAAAAATATTCATTCAGATCACCTAAAAAGTCTTGAAGGAACTGAAATATCCAGTTGTTATGGTGTCAAGTCAAATTGTGTCTTGTCAGAACTGTTGTATTTTGATCTAACCAAAGGATTTCCACCGGACCTTGCCCATGATGTTTTTGAGGGCATAGTTCCTTTTGAAATTGCCCTTTGCCTTGGAGTTTTCATTAAAAAAAAATATGTCACACTAGTTGCTTTGAATGAAGCAATATCATCATTCAACTTCAAATGGAGTGACAAAACTAACAGACCTCACCCTGTTGCTCAGAGTTTTGCATCAAAAAAGACTGTGGGCGGCAATGCCCATGAGAACTGGAGTTTGCTTCGATTTCTTCCCTTGTTGTTAGGGCAAAGTGTTCCTTGTGAGGAGCCAGCTTGGCAAGTTCTTTTGGACTTAAAGGACATTGTTGAAATAATAGTTTGTCCAGTTCAGACAGAAGAGTCCGTTGCATATCTTGATTTTAAGATTTCAGAGCACAGGGTCAAATTCCAAGAGGTCTTTACTGACTGTGAACTTAAGCCCAAGCATCACTTCCTTGAGCACTATCCGCACTTGATACGTCAGTATGGACCACTTGTTGCCCTCTGGACAATGCGCTTTGAGTCAAAGCACAGCTTTTTTAAGAGAGTTGCAAGGAACGTCAGATGCTTCAAAAATGTGTTGCTCACGCTTGCAGAAAAACACCAGCTACAGATGGCTCACCACCTACAGTCCTGCAAGGTTTTGAAACCTTCATTGGAAGTTTCCACTGTCACCAACGTTCAAACGGACATTCTGAACAAGGACATTGTAAGCGCTCTTAAACAAAAGTCTGTAAATGTAGAGACCGTTGCCTTTGCTGAAAGTGTGACACACAATGGACTTCTTTACAAATGTGGAATGATCCTGGTCCATGGCTCGCTGGGAGGACTACCAGAGTTTTGTGAGATTATCCACATGGTCATTCTTCACAACAACCCTCTGTTTGTTGTCAAAAAGCTCAGTGTGTGGTACATTGAACATTTTAGATCATATGATCTAAAATGTTCTCCAAACAAGGAAGTAGAAGTTCTGGAGCCTAAAGAACTGCTTGACAGATACCCCCTTGTTGACTACAGAATTGGAGGAATGCGCCTTGTCACTTTAAAAAGATACATTCATGTTTAAAGGGTGAGGAGAATGATGTGTATGCAATGCTTGTAATTGGAATATTTGTGTCATATTAACTAGTTAAAGAATCTTTATATACAGTTGCAGGAAAAGGTTTGTGAACCCTGTGGAGTTTCATGGATTTCTGCCCGTTGTGGTCCTAAAATGTGATCTGATCTTCATCAAAGTCCCAACAATAGACAGTCTGCTGAAACTAAAACCACGAAAATAATTTTGTTTTTATTTTTTTATTGAACACACCATGTAAACATTAACAGTGGAGGTGGAAAAAGCTTGTAAACCCTTGGATTTAATAGCGGATTGAACCTCTTTTGGCAGTAAGAAGTTCAACCAAATGTTTCCTGTAGTTCAGATCAGACCTTAGGAATTCATCTTTTCTTCCATGAGAGCAATCCCCCCCAGGCCCTGACGCAGCAAAGCAGCCTCAACCACGATGCCCCACCACCATACTTCTCAGTAGGGATGAGTTTCGGATGTTGCTGTACTGAGCCTCTTTTTCTCCACGCAGTGTTGGGTAGTTCTTTCAACAACTCAATTCTGGTTCCATTTGTCCAAAGAATATGTGCTAAAAGGGTTGTTGGCACATCCCATTGATTTCTTTCAGTCTTTAGCTGATGCTTGGATTCTTCTCCTCATTGAGCATTATTGAACAGTTATTGCTGTCAAAGGAGCTTCAACTATTTATTGTTCACATACTTTTTCCACGTGCACTCTGAATGTTTACTTAATGCATTATTTTAGTTTGAAAACACATAATTCTATGTGTGGTATTTTAAGGCAGACTGATTATTGTTGTTGCTTAGAATATCAGATCACATTTTACGGCCAATTTGTTTTTAGATATTTTGATGCTAATTTCAGAACGGGGTATTTAACCCTAAGCTTTACATGTACTTTTTTTTTTGTCCTTAAGAACATGAAGTAGAGACTCATGCCAATTGTTTGTTTTTCAGATTACCATGGGTGCAGCAAGACTTAAAGTCATCTTGGGCGAAAACAATGTGGAAAAATTGATTCTTCCAAATGGTATACCCCAGTCTTTATTAGAACTTGTCAATGTCGTAAAGAACACCTTTGGAATCACAACAGAAATTCGCCTGCAATACATGGACCAAGATTTTGGAAATGAGTTCTTCAATCTAAACGCAACCTCTGAACTGCAGGATTTGGGAACAATCAAGGTGGTTCAACAGGAAGTTGTTCCACTCATAATCACACTTACTGATGATGTTTCATCAGCTTGTGCCACTTTTGATGCTGTTGATTGCTCTTTACAGGCATCAAACAACACAAACATACTCCCTTCTCCTCCAAAACTGTCATTTCGAAGCGTGCAGTGGCCGGCGGTGTTTCCTATTCCACAATTTTCGTATGACACCGAGCTTGTGCTTGAAAGGGGAAATGCTGAATACAAATCATCCTCCAAATTGGTGTATCTCAGCACAAGAACCAAATCTGACATTCTGAACAAAGTATCTGAAGAAATCTTCAAGTACAAAGCTTATCCATGTGATGAACACTTTGTTGCAGTGGCAGAAGCTTTAATCAAAAAACATCCGTGTTTGAAGGAACCTGGATCCTCAAATGGATGGTACGGATGGAAGCAGAGGCTCAAGTACAAAATGGGAAATCTTAGAACCCAGCTCAGACTGCACGGGTGCCCAGAGGTAGCTGTTAACTCCATGAAGTCCAAAGTTACAGAAGGATCTTCTGGCAGAAACGTAAAAAGGCCTAAAAGGGCAGAAGCTAACTTTTATCCATCTTTGCCAACTGGGGACACTTCCGAATCCCTTGAACAGGAAAGACTTTCACTTCTGACTGAAGTGAAAATAAGACACAATGACCGGGTCATTGCAGACAAAATGGCACGCACTTTTGCATACAGGCGACAAGAGGTGGTGGACGGTGAGCCAAGAATCCAGGATTTTAAGGGTCGATGGCCGGCTCTTTTTGATCAACGCGAGGTAAGAAGACATTGTTATTTAATTTAATCGTTGACAGAGGCTTTATATATTAAAGCTTTTATGTTTTTCTTGCAGATCAATGCAGAGTTCCAGAGGCTTGTAGCTCTTCCCCTAGAGCAGAAGTTTTTTTCCCAACTTGACAAGTACTCCACCAAATTGATGACCGCCATTCGCTCAAGAGGAGGATCAACCAGGGAGAAGATATCTGGGCTGACACAAATCTTTGACCAGGTGAACTAAATTCAGGAGACCAATGATGAGTAACCAAAGAAAAACACAATGTTGGCTTTGTTTCTTATTACATTGTATCTCTCAAAACTAGACCGAAGACGTCAACAAAAAAAGAGAGTGTGTCCTGAAAGCCCTCGTCCCTTTCCTTGGAGAGGATGGAAATGCTTTCATCAAAGAATACACGGTAAGTAAATCTTTAAACGGGTAAATAAAAATGTTCTGAATGATTGTGTGTATAAAGTGTTTAGCTTAGAACTATTGTCCTTTTGGGCACCACAAGGACAATATTTGGTAGAAAATTAAGTTTTACTAAAATACCAAAAATTACCAGACGTGGCAGCCTCATAGCGCTTTCACACAAGGATCAGATCAGCTCACTTTGGCCCAGCATCACTCGGCCGGTCTCGGTCCAGTTGTGTTCAGATTGCTGTCTGAGGAATCGGGCCATGGGCGGAGACAGCAGGCGGGGGGAAGGAAGGCAGGTAAACAGGGGGACAGCATTGAGGATAGCGTGGGATATCACGGAAGAAAACAACAAAGGTTGATGTTTTTTTTTTTTTACTTTGTGCGCAGACTGCGGTTCTTTTAAAAGAAAATACCGTAGTTTCACGACCATAAGGCGCAGCTTCAGTTACGTGTCTTTTTGGTATTTAACACATACAAAAGGCGCACCAGGTTATAGGGTGCGGGCGTGGGCACGGTAAAACGTACCGGTAAAACATCTGTGCGGGTTCGGGACTCGGAACATATCAGTGCAAACCAGACATTGTGAAAATTATAACAGCCAAAAGCATGCTTCACTTTATGGGCTCGACACACGGGAGGCGACATCGCCTCTCCTCCATTCATTTTCAATGAGACATGTGCGAAAAAGCGATAATCGCGGGTCTCTCTCCTACCAAGCGAAAAACGTGCATGTGAAAGTTTGCACTCGTGCACGTGTCGTGCACGGACGATCCAGCGACACGATCCCAGAAAGTTGAAACATTTTCAACTTTTCATCGCTGTCGCTCGGACGAGGACCAATCAACGGAGGTTTCATTCACTGACCAATGAGCGGACAGGATGCTCCGTACACCTCCGAGCAAACATGATGGAGAAGTTGATTATTATTATGTTTATATATTAAAATCAGAAGTAAGATTTCACATAACTCTAGCAGCACCTTGTGAAACATCATATCTACCACTTTATTAACTCTGAACCGCTTAAATAACCTTAATTCCCTCCAACCTGACACAGCCAAGCAAAACAACGGAAGTTTCGATTTCGCCATGGAACAGAACGCGTAGACGGCTTTGCCGCTGCCGCGGATCGCCTCCCGTGTGACAGGTAATAAAAGCGACAGCGACAAATTTCGCTGATCGCGGTCGTTTGTCGCCTCCTGTGTGTCGAGCCCATTACTGGTCTAGTCCTGGTTCAGACCTGGTTTAGAGCGCACGTGCACTTCCTCATTGCGTGCGCTGACGGCTCGTGCTCTTCTAATGGGCTCGACACTCGGGAGGCAACTTCGCCTCTCCTCCATTCATTTTCAATGAGACACGCGTGACAAAGCGATAATTGCGGGTCTCCCTCCTACTAAAGCCGGTCGTACACCGGGAGTGCTGCAGGAGGACACAGGGATTTATGGGGGTTGGATGAGTAAAACGAAATAAAGAAAGTAAATCTGTGATTTGTGATCAGTTTAATTTGACATGAACAAGACAAACACGCTTTCTTGACAATCTTTGTGAATAAAAAACGTGTAGAAATAAAAACGAACAGCGTGTGTTATTAGGGAAATAGCGGGCGAGCAGTGTTGATGCATGATTGCGCATGCGTCGTGAGCGGTTCTGATACTTATTGGGTCGCAGCTGCTCGCAGCGCCGCTTCAACTTTGCGATATCCTCACGAGGGACGAGCAAAATAACACGCCAGAAGTCCGTGCGAGCTCACGATTGCACGGTTGAAGTGGTGCAGCAAGCGGCTGAGACCCAAAAAGTACCAGAACTGCTCACGGCGCATGCGCAATCATGCATCAACACCGCTTGCCCGCTATTTCTCTAATATCACATGTTCGTTTTTATTTCTACACGTTTTTTTTACTCACAAAGATTGTCAAGGAAGCGTGTTTGTCGTGTTCATGTCAAATTAAACTGATCACAAAACAGTTTTGCTTTATTTCGTTTTCCTCATCCAACCCCCATATATCCCTGTGTGTCCTCCTGCAGCACTCCCGAAGGACAACAGCTCTGTACATCTCTGAGCAAACATGAAGAAGTTGATTATTATTGTTTTAAATAGTAAAATCAGAAGTAAGATTTAACATAACTAGCAGCACCTTGTGAAACATATCTACTGTTTTTTTTTAAAACTCTGAACCACTTAAATAACCTTAATTCCCTCCAACCTGGCACAGCAAAACAAAACGGAAGATTCACATCCCCTTATGCGCTGTGTTGAAGTTCAGAATGTGTTTAGTTGGTAGATTTAACCACATAAACTTTCCACATGAACAAAATCATATGTTTGTTATTAAAAGGCCTAAGAAAATAGTGTGATTTGAATTGTGTTTTATTAAAAAAGGCAGTGGGAGCAAATATGAGTTTGGTTGTGCTTTATTTGAGCGCTATTACCAGTAATTAATCATCAAATCCAGGCTCGTAGCCTTACTTTGAACGCCCTGTTCACGCCAATGTCCAGCGGTTGGAGTTCCTTTGTCAAGCCTCCTGGAATAACAGCGAGCTCCGAGTTAATTTGCTTTACCCGTTTTTTCACATCGTCCGTGAGATGAGCGCGCATGGAGTCATAGATCAACAGGGACGGTGACGTGTGGAAAAAAACCGCCTGGTCTCTTCACATACACCTCATTCAGCCACTCTTTCATTTTGTCCTCATCCATCCAGCCCTTTTCGTTAGCCTTGACGATGACTCCAGCTGGAAATTTCTCTTTAGGCAGAGTCTTTCTCTTAAAAATCACCATAGGTGGCAGTTTCTGTCCATTAGCATGGCAGCCAAGCACAACAGTAAATGCAGATTTTTTGCGTCCCGTTGTGCGTATCGGTACCGTGCTAGTCCCCTTCTTCTCAACAGTGTGATTCACCGGGATGTCAACGGTGAGCGGCACTTCGTCCATGTTGGTTATGTGACTGGGTCACTTGACCGCGGTGTTTACAATGTCAGAACACCTGCATGAGACGGGATGTTAATTACAATCTGCCAGAATGACTCACCTTCAGATTCCTCCAACATCGTTAAAAATGATCAAATATGGAACATATCGGCGTGCGCAGGCCAGAGTGCTGAAGCTCGGCGCATTGTTATTATGAAGCTAGGGCACATGTGGAGGACACACACACGCGCAAAAATATACTTGTTTTCAATTACATTTATTGTGCCCACTTACTTTTTCTTAGGCCCACCCACAAATGAGTTTCTGGCTACGCTAATGGTGACATATGACAGACTTCTCTGAGCTCCGCAGCCATTACACGGGGTGCGCGCACCACACTTTGGGAATCCCTGGTCTAAGGAAATATCCATTGAAATTTTGTTGAAGGATTAATATAAAAATAAAATTCGGTACAGGGACGATTCCAGCCATGATAAGCTAAATGTGCCAGCTGACAGACTTTTGTGTTGTTTTGCAGGACAGTCACAGAGCAGAGATGCAAAAAGACCTGGAAGACGTCACGATGGCTGTGTATGTCATCCGGTCCGAGGGAGATGAACTTCAAGGGCCTCCTGAGGACATTGGGATTGTAATCGAAGGAGTAGAGGTTCTTGATAGACTGTCCTCAGTTGGAACAGCATGTGCACTCCTGTTAGGTTTGATCTACATTCTTAATCTGGCTTATCCAAAGGTCCTTCGCTTTACATTTGAGGTGTTGCAGAAAATTATAATGGAGCTGGAACCTCAAAAGATGTCTCCAAAGGTGCAGAACCTGTATGTGAAACTGCTAAATATGAATTAATATTGGTGGTTTGCAACCACAAGATCAGTTTTTGCCATTTCCTTTTCCAAAATGTACCTGTAGCACAGGTATGTTGTTTGTAGCTGTCTTTTTTCCCAGCATGGTGCAGAAACTATAATCTAAGCCTTGATTGTTCACTGACGGTGAAGTAATTTGAAAATAGAATTTCTAGGATTTTCCAATTCTAAGTAATACTTAGATAAGTGAGGGGAAAAAACATTCTGTAACCAGTCCAGTCATTCTCCTGATCTGGCAACAGACAGTTTACTTTAGTTGAGCATAAAACAATAAAGGTAAAGGGGAATGAAATGCTTTTGTTAAAATTAATTTATATTGTTTTTGGGCTAAAACGAAGCAAATAGACTGCTGCTAAAACAGGAGAAAAACTGGGCTGTTACAGAATGTTTTTTTTTCTCATTTACCAAAGTTTTACTTAGGATTGGAAAATCCCTTTAAAGCCAAGTGTCATCTACTCTGTTTTTTATATGCACTTCAGTTTAGATTTGTTCTTTTGCTGCATCTTGGTTTTGATTCTGGTTCAGCCATGGATTTTGGATTGCATGTAGGTTTCAGTGAAATGAGTTTTGCCTATGGTTCAAATTAAAAGGGCACCATTGATGGTACATCAGCTGACTTTTTAAACCCGTGTTTAGCAATTCTAGTTTTCGAGTGCCAGTATACGGCAACGTTTAATTGTGTCTCTGCTTCAACACACCTGAATCAAATAATCTGGTCATTAACAGGGCTATGGATTCCTGAACTGCATACTGAGGTTTTTCAGCCATTTTATTCAGGTGTATTGAAGCAAAGACAGAACTGAGAGTTGCAGTACACCCTCAGGCACTGGAATTTCCTTGTGATATAGGTATTGTTCAGTCATTTTTGTACTGTGTTAGATTTGTTCAGAGCCAGCTGAAAATAACGAGCTATTACATTTATCTTCCTTCAATGGTATTCCCCAAAATGTTTACAATTCAGTTTTAATGTCTGGCTTTTTGATGTTATATGCAATTCACTATGTGAAGTCATTGTGTTGTTAAACTGTGAGAGCATTTGTATTAAATTTTGTTACATTTTGCGTATTGTATTTTCTATAACATTTCATGTATTTTGTACTTATTTTTACAAAGTTAGAAGGCAAAATTTTATGTAGGAACAAGCGCACATTGTTTAATTTGTAGTTTTACACTGTAAAGTAAAAACAATGTAGTAGAAAATAGAGTTGATTTAGTCAAGTTAGACCAAGTAGTTAAAATGAGCTTCAAATTTCAATGTAATCAGAATGAAATTCTAACTTTAGTCACACCTTGTATTTCATTTTGAACAAACTTAATTAGATTGTGTGTTACCAGTTGACATGGTTTCTTCAAGTTCTTTCAAAGAGTTTTTTTAATATATATAGAGTTGATTTTTTGTGAATTTTTAAGTTGGACCGAAGTAGTTGGGTAATTTCAATTAACTTGAAATTTATAAATTGGACCAAAGGAGTTAAGATAATTTCAATAAACTTAAAATTTTTAAGTTGGACAAAGGAGTTAGGATAATTTCAATGAACTTGAAATTTTTAAGTTACACCAAGGTAGTTTGGTAATTTCAATTAACTTGTCATTTTTAAGTTGGACCAAAGGAGTTGGGATAATTTTAATGAGCTTAAAATTTTAAAGAAATCTAAATGAAAATCTTACTTTAATCAAACTTTATAGTTCACTTTGAACAAACTTGATTCAACTGTGTGTTACCAGTTGACATGGTTTTTTCAAGTTTTTTCAAAGAAACACTTTTTTCAGTGCAAGACATATATGATGTTGACTAGTGCGTGTCACGTGTGTGTGCGCGCATGCGTGCGTGTGTGTGTGTTAAGCCCCGGATCTTCTTCAGTCCTAAATCTGACCCTGGGCATCGCACAGTTTGACCTTGGAATGTATTTGCTGGAATGACCTCTCCTATGATGATTTAATTTGTGAACATTTTTTAGGTGTTGTGTGAACACACACTTGTATACTCCAGCAAACGTCTCCTGCTTTTATAAGGAAGGCACTGCTTATGTATCGAACTGTTGACCCATAGAATACCACTTTATATTAATGGGTTTTATATGTGAAACTCTCGAAGCAGAAGCAGAAAAATGTACATGTATTTTTACCATTATTATACGTGTAGTGTTTATAAAATAACATAGCAGAAAGGCTAAAAATCTATCAGGCTTTATTTTTAAATAACATGAAGAAAATCTGCATTCAAATTCAGTTCAGTTCAATAATACTTTATTAATCCCAGTTGGAAATTGATTGCTGTAGTGGCACAGAATAATAATAATAAAGTCGTCAAAGAGTTGTTGTATATTACAATGGCTGTTGGCAGGAAGGATCTCCAGTAGCGGTCAGTGTTGCAGCAAAACTGAAGAAGCCTCTGACTGAAGACACTCTTCTGTTGTCGGACAGTCTTGTGAAGACAATGCTCAAGGTTGTCCATCATTTTCTTGATTCTCTGGAGAATCCTTCTTTGCATTATCTCCTCCAGTGGTTCCACAGTCATCCCCAGAACAGAACCAGCCTTTTTTATTAGGCTGTTGAGCCTTTTCAGGTCCCTGCTTCTGATGCTACTACCCCAACAGACAATGGTTGAAGAGATTACACTCTCAACAACAGACTTGTAGAAGATCTGCAGCATCTTGCTACAGACATTGAAGGACCTAAGCGTCCTCAAGAAGTGCAGTCTGCTGTGTCCCTTCTTATAAACGGCTTTGTTGTTCTTTCTCCAGTCCAGTCTGTTGTCCAGGTGAACTCCAAGGTATTTGTATTCCTCAACCACCTCCACTTCTTCTCCCATGATGGAAACAGTGTTTGACTCCACCCTGTTTCTTCTGAAGTCTAAAATCATCTACTTTGTTTTGTTCACGTTCAAGGTCAGATGATTGTTTCCACACCATGCCACAAAGCGCTCCACCAGCTCTCTGTACTCAGCTTCCTGTCCATCTCTGATACACCCGACAACTGCAGAGTCATCTGAGTATTTCTGTATATGACAGGTCTCTGATTTGTACTGGAAGTCTGAGGTGTACAGGGTGAAAAGGAATGGTGAGAGTACAGTCCCCTGTGGTGCTCCACTGTTGGAGTTTGGAACCCATGGAGTTTCTGGCAAAGCACATCAGGCTGAATTGTGTTAAATGCACTGGAGAAATCAAATAACATGACCCTCACAGTGCTGCCTGCTTTGTCCAGATGACAGTAGGTTGGTTGAAGCAGCTGGATGATGGCATCTTCAACTCCAACTCTGTGGCGATAAGCAAACTGCAGCGGGTCATGATATGTCCTAGTTTGCTTATTTCAGGTGGACCAACAGGAGTCTCTCCAGGACCTTCATGATGTGGGATGTCAGGGCAACCGGTCTGTAGTCATCATTGACTGATGGGCAAGTTTTCTTTGGAACTGGAACAAGGCAGGATGTCTTCCACAGGACTGTAACCATCTCTGCAGAATCCCACAGAGCTGCTCTGCACAGGCCTTCAGTACTCTGGGGCTGACATCATCTGGACCTGCAGCCTTGTTCCTGTTCAGTCTCTCCAGCTGCCTCTTCACCTGACTTCTAGAGACAGATAGGCAGGAGGGGGAGGTAAATGGGGCAGCATCATCTCCTGACTTGGTTGAAGACAGACTTTTCGAACCACAAGAGTCCATGACTGCATTAGAGGACAAAAGAGCTGGCGTGTGACAGGAAAATGTTGGATCAGAGGAGGATGGGATGTCTGACTGGGGACAGGTGAGGAGGATGCTGGTTTGTTCCTGAACTGAACCTATTGAAGAACTTGTTCAGTTCATTGGCTGTGTCCAGGCTGCCATCTGTACAATCCTTCCTCTGCTTGAAGGTGATCTTATTCATCCTTGACCACACATCTCTGATATTGTTCCTCTGTAGTTTGTTCTCCAGATTCTTCCTGTATACCTCCTTGCTGTCTCTGATCTTGATCTTCAGTTGCTTCTGTATACTCCTCAATAATTCCCTGTCTCCCTCCTTGAAGGCTCTTTTTTCTCATTTAGCAGATTCTTCAGTTCACTGGTGATCCAGGGTTTGTTATTAGCAAAGCATCTCACTGTTCTGGTGCGTATGATGTTGTCCACACAGAAGTTTATATAGTCAGTGACACATCCAGTCATGGCATTGATGTCCTCATCATATCCTTGGCAGAGAGTCATCCAATCTGTGGTCTCAAAACAACCCTGCAGGGCTTCTTCAGCATCCTGTGACCATTTTCTCACAGTTCTTCTTGTCACAGGTTGCCTCTGAACAAGTAGTTTGTATTCTGAGCAGAGAAAAACAAGATTGTGATCTGATTGTCCCAGAGGAGGTCTTGTTTTAGACATGTATGCATTCTTTACATTTGCATAACCCAAATCCAATGTCTTGTTTTCTCTGGTGGAGCAGCTGACAAACTGTTGAAATGTTGGAAGTGTAGCACAGAGCGAGGCATGATTAAAATCACCAGATAAAGCCACAAATGCATTGGGGTGCTGGGTTTGTAGCTTAGCGACAACGGAACTGATGGCATCACATGCGCTTTCAGCGATGGCTGAAGGTGGAATATAAACAGTTGCCAAGACAACACTGGTGAACTCTCTTGGCAAATAATATGGGTGACAACTTACTGCCAAGAGTTCAACATCTGGGCTGCAGAGACGACATTTCACTGAAACATGACCTGGATGGCACCATCTGTTGTTGAAAAGCACTGCCACTCCACCTCCTTCTCTTTTCCCACTCCTCTTCAGATCTCTGTCTGCTCGTACAGTCAGGAATCTTGGCTGAGAGACGCTGGAATCGGGGATATGGTCCTGCAGCCACGTCTCAGTGAAACACAACACTGCACTGCCGACACTCTGGCTGAGTCCTTGAAAGGGCTTGGAGTTCATCCATCTTGTTGGCCAGTGATCTCACATTGCCCATTATGCTCGTTGGAAGAGATGGTTTGAATTTCCTCTTTCTCTGTCTCAGTTTTGCTCCCGCTCTGCACCCACGCTTCTTGCGTTTTAGCTTATTTGGGATTTGTGGCTTCAGTTGAGGTATTATTTCAGCCTTACCAATGTTAATCAGCTGCTCCCGATTGTAAACCAGCTTGTTGCCATGGTTACGCATCATAACAAATGCTTAAAAAGTGAAAAAAAATAGCAGTAAAAATCATCTCTTCACAGCACCAGAAACAGAAAACTAAAATGTCCAAAAAATACAGTTTTTCTTGAGAAATTAGAAGAAAAAATGTCCAAAAAAAGGCAAAACTTACATATAGTCAACAGAGCTACTCTAACATGCAGCCACCCAGAGCAGCGCAGTTCCGGAAGATTTTTTCCTAAGAAGGGATTTTGAATACTTGTTTGTGCATGTATACGTGCGACATGATTCATAATTCAATAGGGTCTGACTCTTTCACAAGTCTGACACCTTCTGCCGTAATTGGTTCTATCAGCGCTCTGCAGGGCTTGAGCTGTTTGCAGACATTGTTATTTCCAGGTTAGAGTTTTTATAATACACTGAGAACCTGAAACTGGAGCCAAACCAGGGATCCGTGAGGTCCTCGAGCTGAAGAGGAGCCACTTTACAAGCAATTCATCACCTCACCGCAGCCTGTCTCTCCTCTTTCTCCTTTTGTCTCTCTCCCACTCCCTCTCTTTCTACTGCTCTCGCTTTCAAAATAAAATCTTTTTCTCATTGTTCTCCGATTTTCCCCTTCCACCCCACCCCCCGCCTTTTTTTTAGCTGTTGTCTCTCCATTTATGTTTAATCCCAGAGGAGAAAGCTTAGGTTCTGTTTCGGCGTATGGGTATCTGACCTCTGCATCGCCTCTAATCCGGCTTAGTTCACTTAATGATGCCACTTGTGGTGCCACAAACGCCACCGAGAAGTCTATAAAAGCCTTCCATTAAAATGCAAATCCGACCTGGTGGAGAGAAGCTAAGCGACACAAAAGTGGGAAAATTTGACCGTGGACCCCCTTTTTCTTCGTCTCTCAGCTATGCAGCCAATGCAGCAAATGCCCCCCGCCTCAATAATAACTGATACTGTGATTAGGTGCACTGCGACATGTTG